GTACGTGAGCGATGGGGCGATTTGTTCTATTCTGCTGGTCCATTCAGGAATATGCGCAGCTGGCTGTTTTCTCTGTTGTTCTCCGGTTGTTTCCTTGCTTCTCTGTCCGTCTGTCTATCTATCTCTCCTCGCTGTCTCCGTCTCAAATCATTTTTTTTTCTCTCTCTCTCTCCATCTCTCTCCCTCTCTCTTCCTCTCGCTTTCTCTCTCTCTCTCTCTCTCTCTCTCTCTCTCTCTCTCTCTCTCTCTCTCTCTCTCTCTCTCTCTCTCTCCCTCTCTCTCTCTCTCTCTCTCCCTCTCTCTCCTCTCTCCTCTCTCCTCTCTCTCTCTCTCTCTCTCTCTCTCTCTCTCTCTCTCTCTCTCTCTCTCTCTCTCTCTCTCTCTCTCTCTCTCTCTCTCTCTCTCTTTGGCTCTCTCTCTTTCTCTCTCTCTCTCTCACACACACACATACACACACATGTGTCTTTCCGTGCGTCATTCTGCTCCGCGTTATGTGAAGATGTAGAATTTTCTATTTTCATTTTTTTCTTTATTAATTCTGATGTTCATTGTCTCTCTGTCGATCTCTTTACTATTATCATTTTTATTATTATTATTATTATCATTATTATTTTGTATAATATTATTATTATTGTTGTTGTTATCATTATTATTATTATTTATCATTATTTTTTATTATTATTATTATCATTATTGTTGTTATCATTATTGTTATTATTATCATTATTATTATTATTATTATTATTATTATTATTATTATTATTTAGTATTATCATTAGCATTATTCTATAATTATCTATTATTATGATATTATTATTATTATATATGAGTATCACTAGTATTATTATTATCATTATTATTATTGGTTATAGTACTATATCTTTATTCATTTTTATGATATAAGTCCTTGCTCCCTTGCGCTCTCTGGTCTCGGTCTCAGTATATATCGAGATCTTTATTAATAATATATGCAATGATATATCTATCAATATAGTCTGCTAGAGGTCTATGGATCTAGCGAAATCTGGCGCAGTGCTTCCTAGGCGAGCGCGAGAGACGAGAGATTGACAGAGACACACCACACACAACACCACACACACACACACGACACACACACACTACACACACAACACACACACACACCACAACAGAGAGAGAGGAGAGTGAGATGAGAGAGAGAGAGAGGGGAGATATGAGAGAGAGAGAGTAGGAGAACTAATGATAGAGAGAGCAGAGAGAGAGAGAGAGATAGAGAGGAGAGGAGACGGGATAGAGATAGTAGATGAAGTAGGAGACACACACACACACACAGTACCACACAGACACAAAGACACATACATACACAGGAGGGCGAGAGGATATGGGTAGTCTAGAGCTATAGATGTAGTATCTGGATAGATACAGAATAGAGAGATAGATATAGATATATATTAGTAGATAGACGATATAGAGATAATGTTACTTAGTAGACTGATAATGATAGTATAGATATAGAAGAGAGAGATATGTGGGTGTAATATATAGATGAGATATAGGATAGATACTAGATAATATTGTTATAATTAAATGTAATATATATAGATTGTGTGTGTGTGTGTGCGTGTGGGTGTGGTGTGGTGTGTGTGTGTGTGGGTTTGGGGGTTTTTTTGGGGGTTTTTATCTGTATAGTCTATATTATAGATATATATTATATAGAGAGATATATAGGTATATATATATATATACACACACACCACACACACACCTACACACACACACACACACCACACACCCACACGCATCACACACACACACACACACAACACACACACACACACACACACACACACACAAAACACAACACGCACACACTACACATCACACACACCCACACAACACACACACAACGACACACACACAGGACACCACATGACACACACACAGACACACACACACACACACACACACACAAACACACACACGATAATCGATAAGAGAGAGAGATGAGAGAGAGCAGATAGTATAGATTAAGAGCATGAGATATTAGAGAGATAGAAGAGAGATTTATTATACACATGATATATATATTATACATAGCATATATTATTATATATAGTATATATATAATGATATATAGATATACTATATATATATATGATGCAATATATATAACATATATATATTATATATAGATATATTATATATATTGAGTATATATATATATATAGATATAATATATATATGTAGATACTATCTATTACACCTATATATATATGTGTTGTGTGTATGTGGTGTGTTGTGTGTGTGCTGTGGGTTGTGTGTGTTGTGTGGGGTGTAGTGGGTGTGGGGTGTGTGCGGGCGGTTCCGTCTTCGGGTGAGGGGATGGCGTGGGTTGTGTGTGTGGATAAAGAGATATAGGGTTAGTATAATATATAATATAGGAAGGTAGAAGATAGAGGTTTATATAGATTATATGGACAGATATCATATATATAGAATATTAATATTATTAGATATAGATATAACGAGATTCATATAGATATAAAGGTATGTGTGGTGTGTGTGGGTATGTGGGGTGGGTGGTGGTGTGTGTGTGGGTGTGTGTGTGTGGTGTGTGGGGGCTGTAATGTGTGTGTGTGGGTGTGTGTGTGGTGTGGGCGGTGGGTGTTAGATTATATATATATACATATATAATAAATATTTATAACATATATACGACGATATGACAGATAGAGAGATATAGAGAGATGATAGGGGATATATTAGATATGAGGAAACTAGGATAGATAGATCATAGGAGTATATAGAAGACGATCAGAAGATATAGAAGAGGGAGATGGAGGATAGACTGAGATATATGGGATATGGGATACACACACACAACACACACACACACACATCACACACACCACACTACACTACACCACACAAATCACACACACACACACACACACACACACACACACACACACACACACACACACACAAACACACGACACGCACACACACACACACACACACACTCACACATAGAGAGGACAGAGACTAGTGAGAGATAGTAATGAGGAGAGATAGAGAGAAGAAATCATTTCGATAGATGTAGACAGCGACAGGGTAGTAGATGGACACACAATCTGCAACAGCCATACACACACACACAGAACACAACACACACACACCAGACACACAAACACACACACACATAACACACCATCACACATCACACACACAACACACACCACACCACACACACACAAACACACACACCCACACATGAGAGAGCAGAGATAGAGAGAGATAGTAGCGAGAGGAGGCGATGAGATAAGAGAGTAGAGAGCGAGGGGGAGGACAGATAGAGACAGAAGATATATGATAGGATGAATAGGAGGAGAGGCGAGAGATAGAGATAGAGAGGATAGAGAGAGAGATATGAGGTAAAACACCAGGGAGAGATAGAGAGAGAGGACAGGTAGAGAGAGATAGACAAGATGGGAGAGAGATAGAGAGAGAGACGAGAGGAGAGAGGAAGGAGACTAGGAGAGATAGAGAGCAGAGAGAGGGGTGGGTGGGGGTGGAGCGCAGAGAGAGAGAGAGAGATAGAGCGAGAAGCAGGGAGAAGAGTAGCGAGTAGAGAAGGAGAGGGCGGAGAGACGAGAGAGGATGAGATGATAGAGAATAGCTGAGAGAGTAGAGATTAGAGATAGAGGATCCGAGAGAGAGAGGGAGGGGGGGGGAGGGTGGGGGGAGGGGGGGGAGGGAGGGTTGTGTGGGGGGGGATGGGGGGGGGGGGGGTGGTGTGGGGGCGGGGGTGGGGTGGGGGGTGCGGCTGGAGGATATGTGGGTGGGTGTTTGGGGGAGAAGAGAGAGATGGTTGTGGAGAGTCGAGATAGATAATGGGAGAGAAGAGAGAGAGAGAAGAGATTGAGAGAGCAGAGGAGAGAGAGAGATAGACAGAGAGAGCAGAGAGAGAAGAGGAGAAGATGATCTAGGGAGGGGGGGTGGTTGGTGTATGGGTGTGGGGGGGGGTGGGGGGGGGGTATACAGATATAGAGAAGAGCTGGATGACAGATGAGATAGAAGATAGGAGAGAGAGAGACTAGATGAGAGAGAGAGATAGGATGTTATATAGAGAGAGATATAGATAGGGTAGAGAGATAGATGAGCTGAGAGAGATAGAGAGAGAGAGAGAGAGGGAAGGTGTGCCACACAACCGAACACAACCACACACACACACACCACACACACACACACTACACACACACACACACACACACACACACACACACACACACACCACACACACACACAACACACATCAACAGAGAGAGACAGAGAGAGAGGGAGAGAGAGACGAGAGATAGAGAGAGGAGAGAAGAAGACGTAGACTGAGAGACGGGGTATGATAGAGGGACACAACAACGGCACCACAGCCAACACACACACACAGACACACACACACACACACATACACACACCCACACACACACACACACACACACACAAACACACACACACACTACACGACACACACCACACAAACACTACACCCACCCACACACACACACATCACAGAGAGAGAGAAGAGAGAAGAGAGAGCTAGAGATAGAGAGAGGAGAGAAGATTGATATAATATCGAGATGGATAGAGAGATACCGGAGAGAGAAGAGAGGAGAGAGAAAGAGAGAGATGGAGAGAAGAGAGGATCGAGAGATAGAAGTAGACGAAGAGAGAGATGAGAGATAAGAGAGTATACCGAGAGAGTAGAGAGAGATAGAGAGAAGATAGAGACTAGAATTAGTAGAGCTAGAGGTTGATAAGATAGAGATATACAGAGAGAAAGCTACTCTAGCGACGATCAGGAGCGGGAGCGTAGCGTAGCGATCTGAGAGATGGATGATGAGAGGGAGAGAGAGAGATGAGAGAGCGAGAGAGATGAGAAGAGAGAGAGAGAGAGAGAGGGAGAGACCGACAGAGAGATGATAGAGAGAGATAGAGAGAGATACAGACAGAGAGAGGCGAGA